AAATCAAGCGTATTTCGCATATCAATCTGGAAGATATTCCACAGAATTGTGTTTCGCTAGTATTGAGATTATTTTCTAATTGAATAAAACTTAAACATTTCGAGGGGCTTCAAGGCCTTCCAAAAGGTAATTGTGAAGAGTTTTCCAAATAACTTTTAAAATCAATATAAGAGTTCAATTAGAAAACTTAAAGCTCTTGCTGCTTAACTCTGGATTGGATTGGATGTTGTTAGAGTTTTTGTGATTTGAAGAATGCATTTTGATATTTGTCAGCTGCATATATACCCCACTTAGTAGCTTCTAAGCACACGGGTAAGCAATTCGCATAAATTCTGTTTCAAAATTTCAATTTGTGTGCCCTGCAGTTTGTTATTTTTGTTGTTGCAGCAGCAACAGCTGTGGGGTGAATATCGCGCGCTAATCTGATAATGAGTGTATATTTATGATTATGTACATGCATTTAATGGAGCACGCCCAGTCGCCCAGCCGCCCAACCATTCACACGCCAAAGAGGCATTAGCCTGCCCCGCCTCCTCGCAGCTTATCGCATGCAAATTGAGACACTTGTGTGTGCAGCAAACCAGGCAAAAAGAGTGGTGGAGAGGGGTGTGTGTGTGGGTGTGTGTGAGTGTGTGTGTGTGTGTGGAGCATGCTGACACGCCTCTGGGGATAACATTTTTTATGCGCTCAGGGCCAGGTTCGGGGACAACGACGTCGCGATGCCTGGCATCAGCACTCGATGATTCTGTCAATTTGAGTAAATCTTTTTAATGGATCGCAAAAAATTAATCGTGTGGAATATTTTTGAAAGCATGCAACGCATCCCCAACTCGCTTTCTCACTCTCACTCACCCTCACACTCTCTCTCTCTTCCTCCCTCTCTGTTACTCTCACTCGAATTTCGTCTGTCTGTCTGCATGCATGAAATTGGCCCACACATAGTTATGTATGGAGTTTGGCCAATCTCATGAGCGAGTCCGTTCATAAGTTCGTGAGCTGATATACAAAACGGCCACTTAAGTTATTTGTCAAGCGGAAATCGATTTTAGTTTTCGAACAGCGCCCAATACACATGCCATCCAACCATTGAGGATGAGGGGCGGGACTGAGATTCAGTTGCTGGGTCATAAACTTTATTGCGCAGCATAATAAATAAATTAATATATGTTTATATTTATTTTATATTTATATAATTGTATGTGTGTGCGTGTGTGTGCGTGTGTGTGTGGGGCTGGTGCGTGCGCTCGTCCGTTCAGCAATTTATTATTATTCACAATATGCGCTCTCAATTTTAATTTTACTCTGCTTTTCCTTTCAACTGTCATCATAATGTTTCATTTTGCAATTCAAGTGCTTGCCTTGCGACAAGTGCTACTCCTTGTGAGTGCAAACGAGCGAGAGACAGAGCGAGATGGAAAAGAGAGAGAGAGAGAGAGAGAGAGAGAGACTGAGACTGACCGAGAGGACCCAAAGAAATTGGTCTGTATTGGACTTTTGTTTCGGGCTTTGGCTTACCAAGCTGATGAAACTGATTGTGGACATTGAGAATTGAGGCAATTTACCCACTGAAGGACCGTCTACTTGAGTCATAAAACGATGAGCTTGAAATTGAAATCATTGCATTAAGATTCGGACATACAAATACATAATATATCAGCTTCATAGAAGCGTGAACATAAATCAAATTAAATCACATTTTTTGTGAATCAAATATGCAATGACAAGTTGAGTTTATTAAATCACATGGTTACATTTCTATAAATAGTGTTATTTGAAAGTTCCTTTGAGTAAATTCATGAAATCAAGTTGAATTACAACAAAAAATAGTTTAATAATCTTTTCATACTCGGTACACTTCTCGGCATTCACACGCAGTTAAGCACTTTTCATCATAAATGAAGCCTTAATTGCTTTGCTTATACTTTACATTAAATTACTATTATCCGTATGTACCGCAAGGAGCAGAATAAACTAAAAACAGCTCACGCTTCACTTTGTTGTATCGCAAAATTTAATAAGAAACAAGTGAGACTTTACTCTATCTAAATATATTATGCTAGCAGATAGACAGTGTGGAAGTCTTAATCGCCTCAAGAAACACATATTCTTATTTATATATAAATAAGGGAAAATTCATATCTAAATGTGTACTTGCTCAACAATTCACGTACACATTAGTAGATGACCAAATAGAGTAAAGAGCGAGTTAGCTTAAGAACAGGAAAAAGAAAGAGGTATACAATTTTAAAGAGAAAGGGGAAGAGAGGAAAAATGAAATTGCAAGAGAGAGTATTATATAATGTTCTGTATGCCTTACATGAATTCATGAGAATTGCATAGAAAGGCTATATTTAAAGTGAGTGGGAGGGAAAGAAAAGCATATTGCAAGAAGAAGGGAAATTATAAAAGATTATAACACTTATAATATAAGCGTGAAATTCTGAATTTGCTATGTTTAGATAGTGAGAGAGGGGAAAAAAGATATTGCCAGAAATGAAACTATATAAGATTATAACACTTATAATCTAAGCGTGAAATTTATATATAAAGGCTATAATTAAATATACATTTTTGTTTGATGCGAAAAGTGCGAAACTCGTCTCAAGAGAATTTTTATGAAGAAGCAACTTTTATACAACAGTTTTAGATATGTACAGATTAAAAAATATATACCAAAATAGATGCGTGTTGCAGATTACACATTCTTACTCCAGTAAGATTGGTTAAAAGTAATCTTAGCTTGATGCTAGAGAGATTATGGCAAATATATACCGCTTATACAAAAACATGTTAAAATTTCACATATTCTAATGTTCTATATGATTCACTTTTATCTAGATAAGTTTGGTAAATGGCTTTATCTGAAATATCTCCCTATAGATTGGGGCTGCACAAAAAGGCATCGAATCTTAGCTCGAGCAGAGCTATAGGTATTTAAAAAAATGGATGGGTTGAAGAAATTTCGTTTATATTCATATTTTGTAGTTTTTGTAATTTTAAAGTACTTAAAATATTCTACTATCTTGTTAAAGAGGTAACTTATTTTGATAGCTTGTGCAAATATAACGAAATATTCCTAGAACTCTCTGCTATAATATTCGTATACTTCCAGATACTTTTGAGGGGTCACGACATTTACTTTGGACAGAGTTGCGGGCAAATCTAGTATATGAAATGCATGTTGCGGACCATTATGGTCGGAGCCAGTGAGAAGCTCGTTCATTTAGCGGGTGTAACATTTGGCATTTGCCTAGCGCCTGGGAAGCTGCTTAAGCTAATGTGTCTGGGCCACAGTGTTGGGGGCGTTCTTTGTGCAGCATATCGTGTTTGCAACGGCGAAAGATTAATTTGGAAAATATTTGAGGCATGTGGAAAATAAACTTTTCTTGTTGCCCCAAGCCGGATCGGGGGCAGCTCCCAAATGATTGCCAACTTAGTTTATGGCTTCTGGCTGTCATTTCTTATTAATGGGATTGGCGAAACTGGAATTCTTTCAAAATTTAATAATAATGATTGCGATTGCACAAATAAAACTGAATCAGCTGCGGTCGCATCTTTAAACTTTTGCTCAATTGAGGAACCAAAGCCATTTTCATTTCATTCTTGGCTTTATTTGTTTGCATTTTGCCATAAATCTTTGAGCTTATTGCATACAAATACAGCGTTTGAGGAATTGTATAGAAAGTTTGAGAAACGTTATGCGTCAGGGCATCTGTTGGTCATCCAGCAGAGCTGGGGCACATCGAGGGCCTCGAAGCCAATTCTAGGCACTAGCACTGCTGTAATATTCAACAAATTTATTTTATGCTCTCACATTTTTGTACGCCGGCTTGGAAAATGCTTTCTCCTTGCCAAACTTCGTAAAACGTTAAAAAGAATTCAATAAAAAAAAATATTGCAATTCAAATCATTTTTGCAAAGAAAACTTCAAATTGATAAATCCTTTCAACGTATTTTCGCTAAAAACTTTGTTGAATTTGCAGTCTAGTTAACTCAAGCTCACAGAAATATAGCTGGCTTTCGATCTATATGTTATTTTATAGCTGACTCTTATATACTTTAAGACCATATCGGATGGGCTCATGCTAGTACATACAAGGCTGCAATCCGGGCTTGAACCGAACTGGTTCGTGGCCGGAATTCTCATCTATTGATATGAACCTTAACCAAAAAATGATTTGCTTTCTAAAGAAGGCTTAGTTCAAAACAGAAAACTTTTAAGGCAGACCCAGTCATAGATACCGTTAATCCCAACTATCGTATTTATCTAACTAACGGGCAATAATAAATTAAGAATTATATTTTACCTCAGATATTTTAGTAATATATAAAATACCAAATCTTGGATTTAACGATGTGGAATACCCGGCCTGCTAGCCAAAGGCGAGTTGGTTCGAACTGTTTACCGTACCAGCTCCAATTTTAGCCAGGCTTACAGCCATGATTTAATACGCACCTCTTGTCGATTTGAGTGGAATCAAAAGATTCAAGTTTAAAATTCAACAAATGAAAACTGATTCATAAATTGTTCAATCGATTTGTGAAAGAGAGACCAGGCGAATGTGTGATGAAAACGTTTTGCGGAAGTACACAAAATCAACTTTCACATTTGTACTCGTATGTACACATGCGCTTGCCCCTTTCACCATCCAAAATGGGAGTGGGCTATAACCCATGGGGTGTTGTAGTGTGCGTGTGTGTGTGTGCGTGTGTGCTGGTTCTGGTGTTGGGTTAGCAAATTTCTATTATTATGTATTTGTTTTGCTTTTGCGCTTGCTACGGAGCAAACAGAACAAAATAATGTTGATTTTTTGCAGCTTTCACTCTAAATGTCTAAATGTCAATCAAGGCGCTGTGTGTAGAAGCGTAAGAGAGTGTAAGCGAGAGAGAGAGAGAGAGGGAGCGAGAGAGAGAGGGGGTAACAACAAGCACTGGTTGCCCGCTCAAGGGGACGTAATACATTTTTAATTAAATGAAAGCAGTCAGAATTCTAACCGGCGATGCGAGAGCACTGCGCCAAGGCCAAGAAGCAGCCACATCCGCAGCACACCACAGCCGGCGGAAGTGTTGCGGCTTGCAACGTGCTACAGACGTAGGAAGTTGGTTATTTAGAAATTCATCTTGCCAATTTTCAGTATTGCTGCTCAGGTGATGCTGCAGCGGCGGCCGGATAAGGGCAGCAGAGGCTGCTGATTAATTATAATTAATTACAATGTCATATGTCATATTTATGCATTGAACAATGCTTGTAATTTGACGCAAAGACCATACACCAATAAATAATAAATACTACTTTGTTTATTGACGACAATTAATTGATAAATTATGCATTTAGCTGGGCATTTGAATTTAATGAACATGCAAAATTATTTCATTACAATTTATTATTTATTTATGCATTCGCATTTCTGCATTTATTGTTGTTTTTTCTTTCATCCATTTATTGTTTTTTCATCTTGATAAATATCATTAACATTTTATTACGTCCGCTATTTGCACTTGCTTTTATTTGGTTAATTAATTTTGATGAGCCGCACATTACGCACACAACATGAAATATTCGCAAAATCAAATAACAATGCGGTAGGTAAAAAATACTATTTGCTATTAACATTTTAATACACTGTTTACAAAGTAAAAACCTCGGATATATATTGCGAAATGTGTTCAATTGAGAAAATAATCCCAAACACACGCACACATAAGCGAGAGCGAAATTTGCATTTTAAAATACAAATTCCGTGGGGGGGGGGGGGGGGGGAGTGGGAATTGTTATCCAAAAAGTGGGGTATATGCGGCTGATACAGAATTCTCTGTCAAGCAAATTCCAAACCCAATCCAATTCTTGCTGATACGAAAATTTAGTTTGGTTGGGCTTAAGCTTTCAGCATTTTGTCAAGTCAACAAAAACTGATGCAGAAAATATATCAAATAAAGCCAATGTCTAGCAAAAAGAGAATATTGATTCTCTAGGTGGAATTGGGTAGTCTAAGCTGTCCCCTAAGCCATCCGCTCACAATGCTGCCAACTTTCTATAAATTCTTTTCAAATTTTTTATAGTTTTTGTTTTATTTAATTAATTAATGACTCGATTTGGAGTGTATTTTATATAAATTAAATTGTTAAAATTGACAATTGAATCGGTTGGTAAACTTAATCTCTCTTTGTCGCCGTTGGTTTTCTTGAGAGATTTTTAAGCACATCCTTTCCAAAAACTCTAAAGATTGCTGTCTACCTTTTATAAGCTCTGAAAAATGCTAACAAATTAAGCCAGGCAACTTTTGCAAAGGAGCTCAAGAGATATAAGCATGTCCTTAATCGGAAGGAGGTCGGAAGATGGCAACCCCTTTGGGATCTGAGAAAATAGCTATAAAGTGGCATAAATAAACATGTGGGCTCCTAATTTATTATATTACAATTTATTATTATTATTTTGAACTATTATTACTATTTGTATAAGCCATGCTGACATGCATTTCATAGCTGGCTTATTATGCGTAGTATTGCAAAAATAAATTGTACCGACAGTTGCTTAAATTGATCTGCTTTAATGGAGAGAAGGCTGTTCATCAGCTGGTTTATGGCTTCGCAGAAGCATCAAAAGCTGACATTCAATCTCATGTGTTCTTTGTGTACACACAAGTGTATATATATTATTATTTTTTCTATATTAAGAGAGGATATAATAATGTGGTTGCGACGCTTGCAACATGCAGCTTGGAGCACATCTACGCTCATGTTCATGCCGACCCAAACCCCCACGACTACGTTCAGCCCACTCACACGCATGTGAAGCCCACGCACGTTGATGGCATGTGTGTGGCGCATGTAATTGATTGATCAAAAAAAAAAAGGAAAGAAAAGTTGGCAAAGCGACTTTAATTAAAACTGAAATATAATATTCAGTGATATAATGCCATAAAGGCATTGAGCATCCAAAAGTGCTGTCAAATCGCAATTCATGCATGCGACTAGTATGTGTAGGCTAATGACGAGCATCATCAAGGAAAAGGACAGGAGCCAGAGGCAGAGCCAGAGACAGAGGCAGCGGGATGTCCAAATGCCAAATGTTAAATGCGAAATGCGAAATGCGAACTGCTAAATGCGTATACGCAGCATTGCACATACGCAGCGTTGCCTGGCATTGGGCCAGACAATGGAGCACTGAATAAGCCCGAAAGGCGGTCACCAACTATGGCACTGTCAGGCAGTCCGCAGCCCGCATTGTTTGGCGTTTAAGCGGCTTACACAGTGGTGTCGACGGTGCTAGTGGTACCAGCGACAAAACCTGTGAACAAACCGGTTGACCATGCGTATGCCAGCAGCTGAATTTTTAATTACCAGCCAGGTTTAATTAACAAAAGGATAGAGCTGAAAAATGCCACGACAAATGTGAATGCCAGCCAAATGATGGACAGCTCTGACAGGCTTATGCTCTCTTCTTCTCTTCTTGATGCGGTTCAGTTCAGTTCCGTTTAGTTCGGTTTAATTCGCTTCGGTTCGGCTTGGAACTCGACACGGCTTCTGTGAAATTAAAATTATTTTTAGCCATAATCTGCTAAATTCAATGAACAACATGCGAATTCAATTGAATTCAATTTGATTCAATTGAATGCAGCTTCCGTGGGCCAGAGAAGGCGAACCAATACCAATACCAATACCAATACCAATACCAATACCAATACCAATACCAATGCCAATACCTATCCCAATACCAATACCAATACCAATACCAATACCAATACCAATACCAATACCAATACCAATGCCAATACCTATCCCAATACCAATACCAATACCAATACCAATACCAATACTAATACCAATACCAATACCAATACCAATACCAATACCAATACCAACACCAATGTCAATGCCGACGTCAACTCAATGGCAGCGAATTTGTATGTTCTGATCTGTTCGGGTTGGCTCTGTTTGGGTTTGGGGGTGGCTGTTAACGATTCAAAGCCAGAGTCAGGGCCTGGCCAGCAAGTCCCTCCACTGCGTCTAATATAGAAGCATAGTGAGCGATAGAGATAGGGATAGAATGGCTGCCGGAAAAGAGAACGAGATGGGACAGTGAATGGCAGTTTGGAGTACTACAATTTTGCACTGGGGCCTGGCCAAATGCATGCAACTGGCTTGCCATAGACGTGACTCAGATTGATGACTCTGCAAAATGCTTATGCTATCGAAGTGCATGGCAATGGTGTAATTTGATGAGTTTTCCGCTGGCTATTCCAGTAATAGTAGCAACTTGCCAATTAATGAAATGGCATGTGTGCATCTGTTAAAATAACATTGGTTCAGCACTCTATATATTTTTAAAAATTTTCCTATCCCCTTACGATCTTATATTTCTACTCTTCTTTAAACTCTATATGCAATCTAATTGTGGTATTCCCTTGCCATTTTATATTTCTATATCTCTCTTAGCTCGATATGCAATCTTATTGTGATATACAATCTAATTGCGATCTTATGTATTTTCATTTCTCTTACCTCGATATACAATCTAATTGTGGTATTTCTTGACGATCTTATATTTCTACATTTCTCTTAACTTGATAAACTAATTGTGGTATTCCCTTCACTCGATATAGAATATACAATAGATAAATGACTTTATGTAAAATAGTATCATATTTATGGGTCACATTCTCTTCCGCTTTTATAAACTTTTTGACAATATATTATCTATATTTAAGGTTTGAACAGCAAAATCTGATTTTTTTTCGAGTGAGTCCCAATCGATTCGCATCTTTCTCGAATCATTTTGGTTCCTAATCGATAGCATTTTTTAGGTAAAACAGCTGATTTCCATTCATTTGTTTGGTGATTAATTGAAAGAAATAGAAGTTACAACGGTGAAGGCTGCAATTGCTTCCGCATGTAATGAATAGGAGAATACAAATTATTTTGATGACAACTTAAATATATATTTTGGTTTATTTTGCCAATTACCTTGCATGCAGACAACTCATAGGAAGTCTTTTGAAAAAAAGAAAAACAAAAAATACTTGATGGGAAACGAAGTTTAGCACGAAATTTATAAATAAATATATTTCGAGATAAAGTAAATTGAGAACTGGACTCGTTTGTTGCTTATATACATATGTGCGAGATTTATTTTACAATAATTTCTAAGCATTTGCAATATAAGAAGTGAAACATAAAGTCGATAGAGGCATCTTTTACACGTGCTCAAAATTCATGGGCAAGAGCATTTGAGCTTCTTCTCCGACCTGTATAACTTTTAGCTATATTTTTTTTTTCCTCTTTATTTATAGCCAGTTTCTGCTGCTGCTGCTGCTGGTGCTGCTGCTGCTGCAGTTCCTGTTGCTGCCTGTGTCAAATGCATTTACTTGTTAATTCGTTCAACGGCAAACCAACTTTGAAGGTGTGTTGCGTGTGGGTGTGTGTATGCATGTTGGTTGGTTAGTTGATGCTGCTCTGCCATGTGCTGCAATTCAGTTAAGTTTTGATTGCTATTTTCGCTTCGCTTCCTGCCAGCGGCTTCCTTCGCCCCTGACGCCATCAACGCCGTCTCCAGTGAGGCCTCGGAACATTGTTGCCAACAGCAGCAAATGTGTGACATATCCGTTTCCGCTTGCCGCGCTAATGTATTAGTGCTGCCACACACCCACACCCACACCCCCACACACACACAAACACCTTTAAATCAAATAACACACAGTTGCAACTATTTACAGCAACTTTTTGTTCCCAGTTATAAATTGTGGTTGCTTTGTATTACGCGAGAAAACAATGCAACTCACCAAAAGCATAAAATGCAAATGTAATGCAGACTGCTACTGCATAGAAGATTGGGCTTGTGTGCCCTTCTAGGCGCGTGGGCATGCCCAGATAACATTGTTGTGCAACCGAAAAAAAAAAACAGAAAAAAATTGCAATGAACTCAACGGTTGCAGAGGTCTGCAGCTGGCTTTCTTTGGCTTTGTTTATCAAATGCAACGTGAGAGCGCGTGCTGTAAAAGCCACTTCCAATCCGATTCTGGTCAGTTCTGGAATGCAGCTCAATGCCAGGGCCAGCAGCAAGCCACTGTCATTGCCATTGCCATTGCCATTGTTCGTGTCCTTGCCACAGCAGTTGCTTTCAAATCAAATAATAAATGTGATAAAATTTTTTTAGTGACCTGCTTTAGAGTAAACTAAATTCGAAGCTGGCTGGCTCGTGGTGCATGCACAATAGAGTTGTCTATCGTTTAGTTCAGACCAAGTTCGACTGAGCGAATCTTTCAAATGAACTACTGAACTTATTACGTGATAAGTGAACCAAATCAGTCGTTTTATTCAATCGTTCTGTTCTTCAGTCGATTGATTTTGCTGACTTATTCGGGGTTTTAGATGTTCAAAAAGAGAAATGAGAGAGCACTGAGAGGTAGCCAAAGCAGCTGCCTGTAGTGCGGGCGAAACGAAGTTCAGCGATGCCGTTCTATCACACAAAGCGTATGGCTTTCCAATTCTCCCTGATGAAGTGAGCGTGTTATGGACCCCAACAAAAACGAATTCGATGTGGGACCAAACGCACAAAAAATGAATGGCTTACTTTTTTCTGTTCTAGCTGTCCCATTCAAGTTGCATAGTTAATGATTCTATCGAGCCTATGAATTAATTAAATCATTGCGATTGAAATAATCAAATGTTGAAGTTCAAATTTATTACATAAACAAAGTTTTAATAATTCTATTAAATTGGTATTAAAGGAGTTACACCATTCATATATGAAATAAAGAAACAAATTTGAAATAAATAAATAAATAATTAATTAAGATTTATTATTATTTATGAGCCGTTCACTGATGAAAATGATTCGCTTATGACAGACTGCATAACAGCACAATGAACGAGTACGCAGTATAACGTTCATGAGTAACTGAACGAGTAAACCTTAATGAACGATTTAGCTTACAACTTTGAAATGAACTAATGAACTTGTTCACCAAAGTGAGCTAAAAGTCTCCACTCTAAACTACCATAACAAGGTATAAGCACAAAAAGTGAACAGTTTGTCTGTACAGCTAATTTAAGAACCGTCCGATTCTATCTATATTTTTTTTGTATTGTTTTATTTTAACAAGTGCCAATCAGAACTCAAGAGTGTTTTAAAATGCGCTTCGAATCAAGATTGGTATCGCCAGGTTTGTATAAAAAACAGTATTAAGAATAAGGAGATCCATAAGAAGTCGTAATGATGACCTCCTGGACGACTCCCTCGTGGAAGAAGGCCAAAGTGGCGCCTTTTGAGCCGCCGGATAGGTGTAGCTGTAGCCAGGGATCTGGCTAAGCGATTGCTGTGAACCAACAGTCAATTTTTCTCCTGAAATACCATGGACAATCCGTGATTGGGCGTAATGCTTTATTTTGCATGACTTGCACTGTCTTACGTTGAGACTTGGCAGCAATTCCCCAGATCGGAATGCCGTACATCCATACGGGGGCAATAATCTGCAAGTACACTGTGCGCTTATTGTTGAGAAAAAGCTTGCTCTTCTTGTTCAGTAGCCAATATAGGCTGGCGATGTTGGTTCGGCAATTATTAACCCCTGATGTGATGTGGAGTCTGAAAGTTAGTCGCTGGTCGAAGAGCAATCCTAGATATTTAACTTGATTCCTCTGTGGGACGGTGTCGCCGCAGAGCTGCACAGCTGGAGGCACAATTTTCCTGAGGGTGAAGCTGACTTTTGTGCATTTGGAGCTGTTTATTTTAATATTGCACCTTTTAGCCCAGTTGTCTAGAAGGTGAAGGTACTCCTCGATACCGTCTACAGCTTCGTACTCGCTGTGGGACCGATTCTATCAACAGCAGACTTTGCCATTGACTCTAGGGTTAGCCTCTCAAAGCTATAACCCCAACAAACTAGTAGCCGGTAGTTTAATTTAAGTGGGCAAATATGTATGAGTAAAGGATATAATTGATTTTAAAAGATCTAAAGCTTTCATCTGATTATATATAAGCCTGAACTTATCATGTGATTTGTGCATTACACAAATTAAAATATTCTTTATTATTATACGCACAATTCTGAATTTTGGTTTGCTTCAAAACTATTTATTTACAAAGAAAAAAGCTTTTGAGGTAGACCCAGAACCAAAGTATCAATTACTTTCGACCCAACCTTTGCATTTATCTAACCATATTTGTGGGGCATCATATTTGGATAGAGCCCAATTTGGCGTGCAGAAACATTCACTACAACTGACAATTGTCGGCTTAAATTAAAATTGTTTCATTTTAATTCTGAAAATACCTGACACATCAAGGTTTGAATGTGTGAATAACTGAAATTTGGCTATAATATACTACAAAGCTTGCTAAAAATACTTGAAATATGTAAAAGTTATTAAAAGTAAATGTTTTTACAGCCTTACCTCTGACAATTAAATTCTCATGGGTTATGACATAAGCCGATTAAAAAACAAACAAGAGTGCTTCAGCCGGAAGTTACCCACTGGGATATACCCTCAGCCCAGCGCAAAACTACCGTGAGAAGCATTTTAGCTTAATTTTTTTTTTGGCATACACTATCTCGTATTTCTCGGCCTTGCCCGGCTTAAGTTTTTTGCTTCAAATTTTGGACACGATTTGTCTACTCATTTTTCAGGCACCTGCCAAAATTCAATCTACCTAGAGAATTTAAAAAAAAATCGTTGAATATGCGCACCTCATGATGCGGCTGTGCTTCTGTTTTGCTATGCCTTACACTATGTATAGTAAATGCATTCTTGACTCACTTCGATGTTTACAGTCCGATCTATCTTAAATTGTTGGTGCTTAAGTATGGCAAGCGTATATAACAAAGCGCAATCTTTTAAAACTATTATTTTTTTCTCGGGAAATAATTCAAATGATTGTAATTAATTGTTCTTAATCTGTGTATACTAAACGAGAACTCACATGGCAAGTGTGGTGCATCTAGCTCATATAATGTTTGAGTTATGCTCTAAGCAATATGTCTGGAATCGATATTTATAGAAACTAAGAAAGAGGAAGGACTGAATATACATTTACCCATTTTCATTGGGTGCAGGCAGTAAATACATGGGCTTATTAAATGCAATGTGCTGAAGCTTTGAGGCTGATGCTAAAGACATTTACCTAATTTAAAATCGGCTCTAAAATGGTTCAAAAGCCACACTCATATGCGTAAGTCTACCTTTATATAGATATAATCGGCTTAAAGTTTCTTTGCGAAAATCAGAGAATTAGGGTCGGCTCCGTTAGCCGTCTTAAGACGGCTAGTTGCATTTGCTTTGGCCGAGGCCCGTCGACAGCAGCATTATAATGAACACGACCAAAAGCTGTCTATGCGTGTGTCTGTATCTGTGTAGGCGTGTGCTCTCATTAAAGCTGTCATGCTTGTTGCTGTCGAGTGTTTTTCAAGAGGATTGTGCATGCAGAGGGCATAGGGAGAGTGTGTGTGTATGTGAGGGGGGTTTGCGGTTGCATGGCAAGGGCTGGCTGTTGCTAAATACTATAGAGTTGTTGATGCGGTTGCTCCAACTCCCAACTGCATGCCATAGTCAGTGGGGAAAGCCGCAATTAGGTGAGCTTAGTGACTCCATCGACAACAACGCCCACTAACACAGCAGCCTCACACGCTCGAGGATTTTGAAATTAGTAAAATATTTTCGCAGGTGCAAAATGCAGAAGAGCGAAACAAACAGAATTTCTGTGCACAATGATCTGGGCGAGCACCAGCAGCAGCAGCAACAGCAGGTGATATCTATTGGACAACATATATACATGTATCCGTGAGTGATTACTTTTTTTTCTACCTCAACAAAGCTGCAGCCTGTTTGGCAAATTGTCGAGAAAATTGCTCAACCCGAAACTAGCAGCAGCCGCAGAGCCAGAGCCAGAGTGACTGTGACCACCTGATAGCCAGAAAACCCAGTTAACGATGACTTAAAAGCTGGATGTACTTGAAAGTTTTTGTTGTCCCCAACGTACCAAAAAACCATGCTGACTCTCACAGACTCTGTGGTCGAACCAAATTTTTCCGGCATTTCAATTGTCATGGCTATGCGAAATTGCGAAACGGAAAGACCTTAACTGACTTTCTATGCATGTGGCTGTGTGGGTGTGGCTGTGGGTGCGTGTGTGTGGGCATGTAGGCATGTGTGGGCGTTATTTTTGGTGATGCACGCATGACATCAGCTTGATAAATGTTGATAACTGGTCTTAGATTTGTATACCATGAACCCATTAAAAATGGATAATAAGGGTATAATGTATTTGTGCAAATGTATGTAACAGGCAGAAGGAAACATCTCCGACCCCATAAAGAATATATATTCCTGATCAGCATCAGCAATCGAGTCGATCTAGCCATATCCGTCTGTCTGTCTGTCCGTCCGTCCGTCCGTCCGTCCGTCCGTATGTATGAACGCAAGGATATCAGAACCTATAAGAGCTAGAGACTTGAAATTTGGACCGTAGGTCCTCCTAGTGCCTGCGCAGTACGTTTCCAAGTAATCGATCAAAATCGATATCGAAATCGTGTTTTTTTGCAAATCTCTAAGTTTCAAGAGCTAGAGTCAATTAAGTTGACATGTGGCTTCTAGAATAGTATATATATATCAAGCATCTTTCATTTTATAGCTGTCGCCACCACCCCGCTATCACCACATAGCTATAAATCAAGTAAAAACTCCAACTTGTATTGCCCACCAGCTTAAGGCACAATTTTAATGAAATTTGAATTTTATAGTACAATAAGATCTACTGCTGAAATTTTCATCAAGATTGGTCAAGAAACACAAAAGTTATTAAAGAAAATGTGTTTTGGCTGGCCTCGTGCTTGCAGCTAGCGCAAATTGCAAGTATTTCTGTATAGATGTACACACACACACATTCATGCGCGTCTTCTTTGAACTCGATCAACAGCATTGCAATTGCGATTGTATTGTTTTCTGTGCTGCTATTTTAATCCGTTTCTCATTAAGACTCGTTTCTTGGTGTGGCTGTTGAGTAGAGGCGTTTGCAAATAGTGCAGTCAGTTACGAGTCCGAGACCTACCGAGGAATCAGTTTATTTTTTGCACATTTATTTGTATTACTGCTGAAGCAAACGAAGCAAACGCGTCGCGTGCTCTGAATTTGGTGTTGGTAGAAGAGGGTTCAGGGTATTATCTATTTAATAAATACCAATGTGGAATTCCACAATTCTAACCTTTTTCTTTGAGTTAATTAACAATTGAGCATATGTGAGACACATACCTTAAATATCAAAAGTTTTCAAAATTCCAACTCTTGCTGTTGCTTCCAGTTTAATTAACTTCCAGTTTGAAATCTTGGATCTCGTTTTCCTTTGAACTCGAACTGCATAAGTTTGAATTATATTCCGGGAAATGTCAGACAATTAGCTACGTTTTCTTTAAATATTGTTTGCAGCACAAAATAATTATAAACAAAAATCCTTTATGACTCCTTTAGAAACGATCCTACTCTATAGTGATTTTGTCTTTAAAGACTGAATTTTTATGGATACATGTGAAGTACAATATTTAGTAGCTTGGAGCCAAGAGCTGTAGCTTTATTACGAATTTTGTTTGCCAAATCACATCAAAGTATTTCCACTGATTCAATTGTGCCATAAAATATAAAATATTGAAAGTATTTGGGTACATGTCTATTGCTGCTCACTACTGGGAACTATAAATTCTGCGGAAGAGCTGCCGGGTAATTAAGTAGATAATTTAATTGAAACACTCAATGAATAAAAAGTGAATTCCGGCTCTATTTTTGGGCTAAAAGTCAACAAAAGTGTCTCAAATTGAATTGTAAATGGCAAAGGGCAAAACAATGTGTGCATGGCCTTTAATAAATTCAAGAGATATTGTTCTTGGCAACTGCTTAGAATCGTTGAACATTCCAACAGAAATTCATTTTTATTTCATTATGTAAATAACCCACTATGCAATATAAAAAGTGGGTCGGAAAGAGATGTTTATTCTGGCAGGTAGCTGCCTATGCGGACGTAGTTGCCATCATCTTCACGGAAATATCTTCGGACGCTGTGGGGCCCGATGACAGGAAAACCAATGCAATTGGCCAACTGAACTGCTAAGTGCGGTCTAGGGGTCAATACTGCAAAAAAGAAACTTGTTCTTTTCACAAGAAAATACAAGAAATACTTGAGACTTGCAACTGAATAGGAGTCTAAACACTCAGAAATAGTGTAAAAAGACAACGATTGTCCTCTACAGATGTATAACAGCCATAAAGTTAAGTTACGTGTTCCTAGTTTCGTTTGAATTAGTTTGCCCTAGCAGTTAAATAGAGCATACGGAATGTCAAAGCTAAGTATCACAGGAGCTTTGTGCAGTATGCATCCAATCTCTAGAACATTATAGCAAATAACTGGCCACGCTGGCAGCGATTCGCTGCAGAGACTTTGACCACGGGAAATAAAATCACAAAGAGCACTCGTCCATTCTGAAGCACAACAGCATTTTTCCGGCGAAAACTGATTGCTGCATTCATTGATACACACATTTCTCGAAAGATGACTGGGCTTGCAACATTCCAGGCCATTCCATAGTCAGGGCTTTTTACACCGACATCCAAACTATATAGCCGAGTGTTTACTCCACGCAGCTCAATTTTCGATCATAATTTAGGCTGCCAGATCATAGCAGCATCTCCCTGGTCGCAGTACTTGACTTCAATGAAGTCCTCAGACTGTTTTAAAATCAGTACATGTTTAAAGTGAGTCGCCAGCAGTAATAACCAAATCTGTAGAAGCGGCGACAACTACGTTGTTAACTGCCACTAATCTTTACGCGAGATGGCTAAGCAGTAAAACATCTGAGTGCCTGGCCACCACGGATAACTGCATAACGGAGTTAGTTAGCTGGACTAGGCAGTACTGAAACCCTTCTTCCAGATAAAGATGGGTGCCCTTGGCAACTGCTTAGCTCCTTCTTTAAACACATTTCAAAGTTATAGGCAGAATACACCATGCTATCGCATGGCACGACAAACTAGGTCCTATATAAAGTAAGGCCCTATCTAACAGGCCACTGGATAATATAAATACATGCTCCGAGACTTAAAGCCACACACAACGAGTTTTGCCGCAGCTGCAGAGATGACGAAGAAGAAGGAAGTGTCTTACGCTTGGTGACAGAAGATATAGTCTGCTTAAAAGTCCTGTCCCTAACAAATTAAAAGAACTAGTCGAGGTTAGTCCGAGCTTAATTCGACCAATTATCAAATTGGACCCCTTCTGATGTCGGCATCTGTATTTAGTGGTAGGGTTTTTTGCAGTTGGCTTTTCCCCGCTAGGAGCAGGACTTTGGACTATTTTTAGTTCAGTGTGATTTTATGAGCCCAACTGTTTCGATAAATTAGCTCGGCTGCCTGTTAACTGCAGTTTTCTAGCAGTTTTTTTAAGTACAGCCACATTACACATTCTTTCTGTTTTAATTTCTGTGTGCAGAACACACAGCTAATGCCATCCCATAAAGGACTTATCGGTAATTCATACGAAGTGGTTTCTACTCCCTTTCACATTTTAACTGGTTGTCAAAGTGATTTGTAAACTTTTTGCAAAGTCCATTAAATAAAGCTTAAATAAAATTCTGTGGGCGGACGGGTAGTCAACCAGGATGCAGCAGGTCAGCAAAAACGCAAGCAGAGGCACAAGGAGAACAGCAGAGAAAAGAACAAAACAGGGCAAAGCGGAGAACAGCTCAGAGCACTCGATTCGGGTGTGCTCGACTAGAAGTTACGCTAAACTTTAGTGAATGCACTCATCCACCGTTATACAATCTTATACTATTCGCAGAAATTACTAAGCATAGCCTCGAATCTTAACCCCACACCAACTGATTGATTATGTTGGACAAAAGACGGAGAAGCAGACGGATAGTTGGACGGACTGTATCTGATTGACTCAGTTTGTCGTCCTGCTTCCTACTGCTTTTTACATACATTTGCACAAAACCATCATACCCGCTTTAGCAAGTTTCAGTGGGCACAGGGTACAGGGAACGGAACAGCATGGGACATGCAACTGCTGTCACAGCTGCGTCAATCTGTCAACACAGCGTCAATCTGTCCATCTGACAATCGGTCAATCGGTCAATCGGTCACATCGGCTTGTCTGACATCAACGAGTCAATCACTCACTCAATCAATCGGAATACTATTCGACGGAACCGACTAAATACACATGCAAATGGCGCTTGATTCGTCGAGGAAACTGGGCAAATGGTGGTGGAAAGCAGAGTTCACTGAAGCGGGCAAGGAACTTTTCGACATTTAGTATCTAATAAGGATCAGAGGGCCTGTCACGCGCCTCCGGGCCAAAGCAATGGATGTGCCATTCAGTGGACCCACAAAAAAAAAACCGCCAGCCGCCCACACCACTCCAAAAATATTTTGCCCAACATTTTTTTTTGCAGTGGAGCCCATTGAAAATGGTCAAAAAGCGTAGACTGGTTTTGTGGAAATGTATACAGCAGGCAGTAACAAAGCATCTCCGACCGGATTAATATATATATATATATATATATATATATATATGCTTGATCAGGACGACAAGCTTAGCCGACTTGGTCCGTGTCTATGTCCAGTTCCATGCGGTCTGACATCGCTAACAGCTCAGGACTCGATATCTTTCTCCATAATAAAGCAATTTTAGTGCCATATTTGGGCCAGGAAATTTTCCATATAGTGTGGAGCAGAGGAGAGAAGTGTACCCCCTGGTCGGGCACTCGCGCCTAGAGCCCTCTTAGTTGTTTATTAAAGCCTTTGTGTGTACACATGGACCACCGCATCGCATGGAATTACAATGGAGTCATGCATTCGGTGTGGTACACACAATAGAGCCCACAGGACCCGCTTGTCAATTGGCCGTTGTCCAAAGGTCGCTGGTGAATTTGTTGTGGGCGTATTTGCATACAACCACAGCACTTGTCAATTCCATTGACGCCCTTATTGAGTTTAGCTTTTACACAAAGCGAACACTTTGGTGTTGATTGACAATTTAGGAGCCTAATGAAAACGCGACTGAGCGACAAGTTGACGGGCGACCTACGAATGCAGGGAGCTAAATGATAAACTAGTCCGATGTTAAACAAATTCCTTTGAATCTGTTACGATTGTTACGTTAGCAACACATATTTTTGGGTTTTTTTTTATGAGAAAGCAAGGCTTAAAAGATGTGAGCAGCCAGGTTCACAAGCCGAATCTTAAACCACGGCTCGAACTTAAAATTTGTTGGACTTGCGGCCCTGTTTAGCAAATGTTTCTTCTGTGCGTAACAGATTTCGTGACAACATTATTATATCTTCAGCAAGGGTATAAAACTTGGTTGGCCACACCTGGAACGTGTGTATGTCAGTTAAATGGAACAAATTGGAAATTGCAGTTTTAGACGAAAAAGTGGTAAAAGTTGAACGTTAAGCAAACAATTTGCAATAGAATCATTGCGAAAGTCTTTGCTAAAAAGTTTCTGTTTAATTATGTAAAAGCTTTCTTGTGCCAGTTGCAGACTTTTCAAAGAACAGTAGGTGCGTTTGTTATGTCAATCGTGACAAAAAAATAAGAGCTTCAATTAATTAATTAAAGATTAAATAACTTGACAGGAGCAACACCCTGCAAGGGGATGTCAACTGGAGATTTTAAAAATTATATATGACATACAAGCGCACATTGCCTTGGGTCATTTGAGTGGACTTGCACTTTTCGGATTCATTTATTATTTAAATGGTCTGAATTAAATTAAATGGTCTGAAATTTAAATTTAAATTACCAGCTTAACAAATATAAATAAGATGTTAGTTAGACATATTGATATAGCGGATATTACCCAGCTTTGCTCGGAGCAATTTGTTTGCTTCAAATTAAATATTTCACTCCCATGCATTATTTAAAGCCTGCTCGGACTGGTCTCAACACTTATTCACAAAGATATTAGAAAGTATTTCACATATCCGTCGGATGAAAAAAAGGATGTGACAATCAGCCGTTTTTTTTTGCCGTAGCGTGGGTTTTTATAAATCGATTCATTAATTTCCAATGATGATTTGCTGTTGCGAAACAAGTCTTAAATCTATTTTCCATAAATATTTTTAGAAATTAGTTATCATTGATTTGGATGGCAAACAAAAAAGTTTTGTATAATCGTTTCCTATCCTATAATGACTGTGATCAGAACCAGTTAGTCAATCGCTCAGTCAGTCAGCTAGTAAGCCAATCAATCAGTCAATAAGGCAGTGAATTAGTTAGTCATTCAATCAGTCTGTCAATCACTCAGTCAGTCTTTTAGTGACTCAATTAGTCAATAAGTGAGCCAGTCAATCAGTCAATAAGACATTTAGTCAATCACTCAGTCAGTTAGTTAATTACAGTATTTATCACCAGCCAGTTATTCAGTCAATCACTCAGTCAGTCAATGAATCAAGCAGTCAGTCCATCAGTTAGTCAGCCAATTAGCCAATCAATCAGTCAATAAGTCAGTCAGTTAGTCACTTAATCACTCAGTCAGGGTGTTAGTCAGTCAATCAGTCAGACATTTAGTCAATCAGACAATATGAAAGTGAGTCAGTCAGTCAGTCTATCACTCAGTCAGTCCATCAGTTACTTAATCAGTCACTCAATCACTCAGTCAATCAGTTGACATAATCCTTGTAATTTTTTAAAAGTTAGTTTCTCGAGTTTTTCCATTCTATTTTCCCAGAAATCAAAGGTCGTTAATTTGGTGTTAGTTGTAAAAGGTAATTTGTTGAATTTTCTCACTCTGTCGCTCAAGTGCCTAAAACACTATAAACTTTATAATTATTTAAGCGCGTTGTCATATTTACACCTGCTGCGGCATCCACAACAGAGTCCAGTTACAGCTGCCAACTGACATGCCCCAAATTGCCATCATGGTCGTTGCCGCTGAAAACTCGTGTCAAAGCGAAAGTTCCTGTGGGTGATAAGTGGGTACAGGTACAGTGTGCGGGTGGTCATAGGGAAGAGCGGGGGGTTGAGATGGTTTAGCCAACTGGGAAGCCGGTTGACTGAGGTATGAAAATGGGCGGATTGCCAACAGTTGTCCATGGCGCAGAGCAACGTAAATGCAAACTCTTGCGGTATTTGAGTAACAGCACAATTTCATTTTAACTTTCGCATAATTTTATGCTCATTATGGCCAATGTGTGTGTGCCCACGCATACACACACGCGCAGAGAGACACACTATGTGACGTTGTTGTGGCAAGCGGGAGCCAGCTATAGCTGTATAACATATAGCAGCAGATATAGCAAAATGTCAAATCCCAAGATAGCGGCAATGGCTATGTTGATGGCGTCGCAAAAGCTTTAATTACTTTGATGCATGATTTTCCTGCCATTTGCAATTTGTAGCAAGGATAATGAACAGGCTGGCTTTATTTAACCTGCTGCACGCACACACACACACACGCAAACAAACGCACACTAAGTCAGAATCTTGTGCACACATTTGTATAACATACTTATTTGATGCGTGGCTTCTTTCTCTTGATTTGCAGCTAGGACACGCACACAGGACGAGCGTATTCCCAACTGGCTACCAATTGAGCAGTTGTGAGAAATGGGTAAGTGTGCGAACTGAACTAAATAGAAGAACGCTAAGGACAACGACGATCACAGCACACTTTTGCACGTCCATGTGGGATTCACGGATTCACCTTTAATTTGGCAACTGTTTCTCTTTTGATACAGATGCGCTACGCTTGCGTGGTTCGCCATTTGTACGCTTCGGCGGTGGCGCTGGCCATGGGCCAGGACTTCCACATCCACATCCGCATCCACAGGTGCATGCCGTACACAGCGTTCAGCAGGAGCCGCTTATTGTTGTCGAGGAATCAAATTTGCCCGAAGAACTGGAGCCGGAGAGCTCAGAGACATTCTCGAATCGTGCCAGTCTGGACATCGACTCGCCCGTGAATCCGTATTTGCTATCGCCATGGCGTGATCCGCGCGAGGCCCGCAAGCATTCTCTGCCCTCACAACAGGTCACCGACGGCATCACCGCCAGTCAGGTGCGTCGTCTCTCCGAGCGCGGCGGCGAGGGCTCCGGCCCATCGCCCAAAGAGGCCGCATTTTTGGCAACACTCTCACAGGCCCCAGCTCCATCTGGCCGTCGGCACTCGGTCGTCACCATCTCCAAGGTGCCCACCACACTTTTTGGACGCTCTCGGCGTGAATCTGTCGCCGCATATTCGTCAACCAATGGGTAAGTCGGCCTGGCTTCGAGCCAGGTAGAAGTTTTTCCTTTTTCCATTCGGCGACACGCATGTTCTGTGGGAAGCTTAACAAGGCGCAGAGGTAAAGTTTGCAAAGGTTTTTGGGGAACAGGAAACATGCCCTTTCCACCTTTGACCCTGGAGCAGTAAAGGAAAACCTGGTTTGGGGTGAAAAACTTTTGAAATCTTCCGTTTAGCTTCACATATCTTTGTAAAATACTTGTTACTTGTAACTTTTTGCATATGACTCTGGTAGTAGAATATAAATATTTTATATTATTTTATATCCCTTCAAGAACTGCCGAAATGAAAGGAAAGAGGAGCTTGTAGAGCACTTCGTATTTGCACTCCTGGCACTTAGTAAGAGGAGGCTAAAATTCCGAGAAGTTCCCTTTCCTATAACTATCTAGCTTTTGTTGGTCTTAACTTATTTTCGCATGGTATATAGATAAAACTCCGGATCAGGGAAAGTAGAGATCTCCGTTTGATCCCAATGATCAAAAAAGTCCAGTTGTTGAAGGCAACCTTAGCTAAGCCGGACTTTACTGGAATACATAGGAAGCGATTCTTGTCGAGGAGTCCCTTGATGTGATTTAGGTCTCCATAAGACAAGTATTTTGATAATGCGAATCAGGAAGGCCTTAGCCTCGATTGTTGCTCTCGGTGGGATTCGGTTCCAGTTGTTGACCATTCCATTTGATTATTGCAGCAGCAGCCGTGTATTGAACTCGCGTCGGGAGAGCAACACAGGACCTCCATCGACAGATCCGATTGGGAGCATACACAATTTGCAGCTGGACATTATGGATGACATTTATTTGCAGTCGCGCAAGGCTCGCTTGAAGCTTTGGACATCGAGCAACGAGAAAGTTTGCGAGGTGCAGACGGTCGATGAGGTGGGCGCTGGGGCACCAGGCAGACGATATACCAATCGACGGTATTCAGAGTGCCCCCAGCCGGGCGTAGGTGGCATTGGCACCTTGCGTCGTGGCTCGGAGCATCCGCAGCCGCAGCCGCCGAGTGTCTCGCCGCAGCCGCCATCGGCACGTGCATCGATGCGACGCAAGAAGTCCGGCAGCGGCCTCGGTTTGCTGGGCAGCCGGACGGATATAGCCAGCATATTTGGCTCGATAACCGGTTCGGGCAGCGGCTCGATCATTGATACGTACAGACCAGATCCGGATGGCGGTTCGTCTAGCTCGTCGGGGGCAACTGGGAACAGTGCTACCAGTCCCTTCTTGAGCAATACGTTCCAACAGGCAGCTCGCGGTCGCACTACCAGCGCGACACCCACACCCAGTGGCGCGCAGTCATCGGGCCTGCTGCTGGATCCGAACGCAGGCCGCTCGACACGCTCCAACAGCTTTGACGTATCCATTTTGAACAATGCCAAGCAGCTAGTGACCGAGGCACAGGACAACAGCTCGGCAGCCATATCGGGCTGGTTTGGCAAACGGCAGACGCCACTCACGCGTAAGAAGAGCATGCGCAGCAAGAGTAGTGCCGTTGCTCTGTCAAAGGATATGCTGGAGCGGCTGCAGAAGAAGGATCCGCTTGCCGGCGACTCTGGCAAGCCGAAGTTAAAGCCACGCAGCAAGCAGAAGAAGAGCTGGGCAGATGCCACCAAGGCGAACATTGTGGATGCCACCATGTTGGGCTCGGCCATCGAGGGATTTCTGCGTAAGAGCTCCAATGCCAGCATGAGTGGTGCAACCAGTGCCGCCGGCGCTTCAACATCCACTTCTGGCAGTCGTTCAGGCAACGCCAGTGGCAGCGGCAAGGGGGCTATACCCAAGGACTCGGGCGCCAGCAGCAGCAGTGCCAGCTCTGGAGGGGCACGACGCACTCGTCAGTCTGCTGCGAGCTCTGCTCAGTCGCAGGCCGGACGCGCCATGCGCTCCACGCTCAACTGGTTTAGCAAGGGCGACGAGGATGATTCCAAAGATACGTGCGATGCCTCTCTGTGCGCCACCCTTAAGGATCTCTTTGTCAAATAGATCGGGGGTACGAGACGCAAGTAAACGGGCAGCGACGACGATTAGAATTGGGCATGGGAGGCAGGCAGAGGCGATCAGAAGAATAGAAGGTGAGGAGTCTTTAAAATGCAATTTTCCATTATTATTATCAAGTTTTCATTGCTAATATAAGAATAATAATAGTATTTATCTTTTTTGTAGTTCTGAATATTATTTTTATATATTATCTAATACATTTTATCTTCTATCATATATCTTAAACCTTTTCAGTGGGCTACTTGCATCTCTAATACCACTAAAACAATAAAACGAAATCATAAGCACAGGAAACACATGAAAAACAAAACTAAACAAACGAAATAAAAGGAAAAACGTACAACAATAGTAATTTGAAACAATAAAGGTAATAGTAACGGTAAATAGTAACGGTAAATAGTAATGGTAAATAGTAATGGTAAATAGTAACGGTAAATAGTAACGGTAAATAGTAACGGTGACTGGTAGTAGTAACGATAGTTGGTAGCAATACCAGAGAAACGATAACGATAACGATTACAATATTAAGGCAACATTGCAGGTGAGTTTTGTGATTATCGAAGGGCAGGGAAAAGGTAGCGAAGGCAAACCGAATGACAAATTACCTACAAATAGTGACCTAAAGACATACAAACATATAAAACGTACATATTTCGAAAACAATATATTTACATATGACCTTTGGACAGAATACATATAAACATACAAACATATTTCGATAACTATTTAAATATATACATATACAAAGCGTATCTACATTTTTATCCGTCATAAACCAAAGAAATAATAAAAAAAAATTAAATTTAATACAAATTGAAGATGAAGGGCAGATGAAGAGACAGTATTGAGAAATGGAAAAAAGGAAAAAACCCAAATCAAACCAGTTTTTTTAGGTGTGGAATCATTTTTGAGAACATCAGCCAATATGCATGTGTCAACTAACTATAAATAAAGTAAATGGCTATAAATAAACAATTTTTTTTGTATACAATAATAAATAAAGTATTAAGAATATACGAAGCAAATGTTCCCAACTGCTTCTAATTATGTAATGTACAAATTGAGTTGCCCATATCAAACTATACAAGATCCGATACATATATACGCAACTGGGAATGAATACATATGAAGTAAGGCACGAACACAATCGAATATGGTGGGTTGAGGTAAAAGAAAATATTAATCTATTATATCATGGTTATAAATGTTATATAAATGTGCAGTTAACTTTGTAAAGCATCTCCAATTGGGGATCAATTAAGATTTTAGTTGTAGTTTTTTTTTTCTGCGCCCATAATTGGTGCAACTCGTCAATGCAGAATCTTTGATCCATGCAAGGAGATATTAGGAGACGGTTTTAAGGTTCCATAATATGTAATAATATTAATAATAATATTAATAATAATAATACTAATACTTATAATATAAAGCTTCTTGTAAGGTATTCAACACTATTGAAAATGCCACCCGGGCGTTTTGCGAGCAATGTTGTAAGTGCAACAATAACTTTAACTAATCTGCATGTACTTACAAATTGATTTAAGTGGTAACTACATATGTGCAATTTGAGCTTAAAAAAAACTGAATGCTAATTAACATCTAATTATAATAATAATAATGCAACTATGTTATATATTGATGTTCAAATTATTTTCGTACATGTACTAAATGTACATGCGTGCAAACTTTTATGTGTATGTTTATGTGTGTGACGCAAAACACAAACACAAACTCAAACTTGAGTTCAACTTCGTAATGACAGCAAATTGCGTGAAAAACTTTGCTAATTGAATTGTGCGGAATGTGGCAGGAAAATAAAAACGGAAAAATAAATTTGAGAGCTTTAAAAAAAAGTAAAATGGCAATTCGGCAGCAAAGATTCAGCAATCAGTCAATATTGCAATCAATCAAGTATGCTTCAATCAAGTATTCTAATAAGTCTACAATATACTTGCATGAATATACATATATATACATATATATATATATATATATATATATGTGCATGTGTGTAGTTATATGGCATTTGTCAATGTCAATTCACAATCTGCTCGCTTAATGTTATTAAATGAATGCTTAACACTGTATGTTGTTGAACGTTGCACAGCACTGTCGATAACGTTGACATAACTGTCAAGCTAGATGATCCCGATAGCCGTGTGCATCTATTCCACTCACATACATATTTATCTACTCTTGTATGTGGCGTATTTTTACAATAAATATACATAAATATATATTTATCCATATACGACCGTATATGTATATGCTGCATATTACCATATATGTACTACATGTATATCTCAATGTGCCCAATTAACGTATATCGATTTCCAATGTGTGTTTCAATAATACTCGAAATCTGTGCGGTAACCCAAAGTTAACTTTCACTTTCAATGCTTAATGTACATAAATATATATGCAAATATATTAAATATTAGTCTTATTCAATATACATACAATATATCTATATAGATATACATGTCTATGAATACGTATTTATATATATATGTGTGTATATGTAATATGCATACATTTGAATGGTATTTCAACTATTTACAAGTCAATGCGACCGTTATTGGTCCCAATAAAGAAATAAATAAAAATACAAAATATAAATAAATATATATACATATATATCTAGCAAATAAATGTTGTTCTAGTTTTTTACATGTCCATTTTTGCTCGTGTTAGTTGCAACTGTTGTTGTCAATGTTGTTGTCGTTGTTCTTGTTGTTGCTGTTGTTGCTGTGTTGTGTTGTTTTTTTTCTCTCTTAAATCTTTCTGCGCGGCAACAACATTCAATATCATTTACATGCATTGAGTATGTACAACAAAAACAAGAATAAATAAATAAAAAAAAAAAATAAACAAGAAAATTCTTAAATATACAAAATAAAGTAAAATTGATAAACTAAAAAAAAAACGAACATAAAAACGTACACCAAAAATGTTAAACAAATTGCTAAAAACTCGTAAAAAGAAAACCAACAACAAAAAAACTAAACGTAAAGTTCTCTTTGTTCTATTTTTGATAGTAGTATACTGTATTTTAAATATATAACACATACCTATATAAATACCTATGTATGCCCAACAATAAATGTGTTTTCTGTTGCCCACCATGAAATGCAATCAATGTGCATAAATTTATAAAATGTTAACTCAAGACTAAGCTTGCAACTCTTAACTATCCAATGATAATAAATCCAAACTACAATTATTTACAAACTGACAAGCTACAACAAAAACAAAAAGCAGTTAAATGAAAAAAAAGCAGCTCAAAAGTATGTAAACAACTTTTTTAATACTCTGTTCCCTTCAGCTGTTAATCCGTTGTGAACGGACTATTACGCCGTCGGTTGCATCCGACTGCAAAGTTTTCATTTGTGTTTTCAAATTAGCTGGGAAAACTTGTCATATTTATACATCATATTTTACAGGCTATTTAAAACATTTTTTCTCAATGAATTCTTCAACTGTGCTTGGCAGTAAGCAAATTATGTGCCCGTTAGCCACAATAGAAAAGGGTCCAGCAGCAAAAGCATAAAAATTAAGCCTAAAAGTTTCCTCTGGTCAAGCATGCCGAAATGAGAGACACCCTCTACGGACTCTACGCACCCCTGCTTTACACCTATGCAAATCCTAAATAACTTCTGTGCTTTATCCGATCGCATAAAATTTGAATGGCACAAAACTGACATAGACATGTTTACAATTTCAAAAGAGATATCTATCTGTGAGCTATATATTAAAGACAGCGCTGTTTATCGATAATTATCAATACTTGGCAAGATATTTGAATACTTTGATCTGCATATGATATATTCCATATTGTAAAATGTAACTTTTATATCAAATAGCATCTGAGATCAAGAACATATACAAATTTGAGCTTGTAACTATGTCTTATGTCAAATGGGTTAGAAGGGTCACAACAACTGTGCGTGTTACATAACCTGTCACATATCTATCAAGGACTCTTCAAGACATTTGCTGGGTGCTGTGTGTGCAAACCAACGAAAAATCATGTTGACAAAAGTTTCCAAAGATTTGACAGTCGTTAGTTTGGTCAGCTAAATGACTTAAATAAATATATTCAAACGATTTCAAAATGTAAATGAGGCCAGCATTTTTATGTTCTTGCCAATTCTGTTGACCCAAATGAGGACTAGCACGCAATCGATTCAATTTAAATTTCCATTTACTTCTTGTGTGCCCCGTTCCGTTTGCTGTTGTCATCTAATTGTTGTTGTTTTACTGTTGTTTTAAACTAAGACTAAGGTTAAGACTACATCAAGCAAGCGGTTACCACCGACTAAATGTACTTTAGTAGTGTTAACTGAACATACTCAAAATAATCCCGGAGCTGCACATAAATCCATAAGCACTTGGCTGCAATACGCTCCGTTTCTAATTCGATTGCTGGCAATGCAAATACATATGACAATTACTTTACAAATGTCGTTTTTATTTGGCAAAAATGTTCAACCATCGAGAACAAATGCATTTCAACGCATTGCATTATGTCTATACATATATATATATGTGTGTGTGTGTGTGTGCGCGCCAGTATAAACAATGCTATGAATATATGGCATTCTTTTGGGCGCGTGTGAAAGCAATATTTGTGAGCGCTTGGAGTAGATGAGAAAACAAAGGAAACTCAGTGCAAACTCAAGTTAGGGCGAATCGAATCTGTGCGCAGCTAAGGAAAAACGAATACGAAAGCAAAATACATCCAATGAAAGCAGGTCAAAATTGTAAATTGTTGAAAGGGTACGGGGCTAAAGAAAAGTCTTCCGCCTCGAGTAGTCAAATTTTGTTGTATATTAATTTTCTTTTTTTTCTCAATTATTTTTAGTTATTTTTTGAAGGTGTTGGCACCCGGGGGAAAAGTGGGCAAAACTACGCATAATTTAGTGTATAAAACGGTGAGAGCAAGGTCAAGAAATGCAAATTAAGAGTCTATGGTATATAGATAATTGTACATGTATGTACGTACCTATATACAAGCACACATGTATGTATATATATGTACTTTGAAATGTAAATAACGTTGAAAATATGTAAAAGAGAGCAAGCAGCTATATTATCATATGTTTATAAAATATACCCATAAGTATGTGAAAAAAGGATTAAGAGATCGAGAGATCTAGAGAGAGCAAGAGAAAGCGAAAGAGAGATGCAAAATATTTGTATGCACAAATCAAACAAGTTTCGATAAAAAAATATTTAAAAAAATCAAGAAAAGAAAACCAAGAAACAATTTCAAGATGCAACTGAATGTAACAATCATATGATGACACATAATGGATTAAACCAGTAAACAATACAAAGATACAACTATATATATACACATATATATGTCTATATATGTATACATATACATATATATACACATATATATATATGAATGTATATACATATATAAATATATATACCATATATACAAAACCTTTAAATAGAATGTGTACACATACTTATACATATAAATTATATATACCTACATATACACATATATATGTCAGCTCCCCGAACAACCCAAATTATGTATGTATGTAAATGCTCACACACATGTGTATGTACCCAAATACCATATGCATCTGGATGTGTGTATCTGTGCTCAGCATTATCGCATGCATTAATGTCCCGTGGGAAGCAGTTCTTTAACTGTCACATTTACATACATGCAAGTACATATGCTATATATATATATATACCAATAAATAGTTATGTGTATGTGTTTTGCTTTTTAATGCTGGCTGATGGGGCGGGCACGGGGAGCGATTGGATGGGTAAGGTGGATAAGTTTGCTGCTCAAATCTCTTTTAGTCTGCCTGTGGGCAAATTCTATGGATAAGGATTGATAGCTGTTTTATGATCTGTTAACAAATTATCTAATAACAGTCCTCGGTATTACAGTGCTATTGACAATAATAATAATATAGCAAATGATTAACTACGTTCCTTATGGACCTACCTTTAGGCGCTTTTCAGCTCATAAAATGCAATCCAATTTTGAATATGATGGATAAATATGGTCGATAAATATAATTAAACCTGTTTTTTTTTCGTGCACTTGCAGTAACATTTCTAGTATCTGAGAGCGAGGCATTCATGCATATGGCCAGACATACCATGCTTTATTATTAATTACATTCAAAACAAATCCAGGCATTGGTTTCCCCAAAGACTTAAACATAGGAAGGCTAAATTCGGTCCATACTTCACTAATTGCTGACTTGAAGTCCTTCAGACTGTTCTATTGTTTTCCATTTGCATAAACTCTGTGAGACAGAATGCCCCCGAGGTTTTAAACGTTTGTCTGATTTACTTATTTCGCATACCTCACCTGACATGAGTTGTAAATTGGTGCATGAAAGGACTCTGGCCAAAATCCTAACTAAAGTGCAATTTGTGTATTTAAGGAACTGCAGCTTTCTGGATTATCCGACTAATTGAGTTATCTTCTTATGGGTCCAAAACGTGCTGGAGCGCTCACTTTTTTTTTGAGTTTGTGAGCATGAACAATGAATAATTGAGGAATGCCGAGAATGCAGAAGCAGCTGCCACAAATTGCCTGCACTTGCCCCCATCTATTCCAATGGCCGACGGTCGTATAGATGTATGTGCAAGTGTGAAAAGCAGCAGGTCATAAATCAAACAAGAACTGAACTATGTAAGCTAAATCGGCAAAGGGAACTCGGAAGTTGTAGAGCAAAAAACCAAGCAACAGTATTAAATACGATGGCGAATAGCATTTTGCATTTGGAATTTGGCAGTCAACATTAAAGAGCAGCAGCAGCACCCAACTGTGCAGCCAGCGGGTGCAGAGCACAAAGAGCCAGGCATCTAATTGTACTGGGCGGAAGCCGCTGCTGCCCCTTCGACTCATCTGGGGCACGTTGTGGGGGCACATGCAAATGGTTGGCTTATTAGAGGCATTGCAACCCGATACTTCAATGTGAACCGACTGATGTTGGCAACTGTTGCTTGCAAATCGTAAATCAATTGGCGGCAATAATGAATAACAAGTAATTACTGTCCATTGTAGTTGTCTGAAAAATAATAGATTGACGGACAAACACGGTAGGCATCATATCCACGATGAACGAGGGGGGCAACCAAAAACAATTCCTAATCTGTGCATGCATAAATCATTTTTTGTATATGTGTATGTATATGTATGTGTATATGTATATGTATATGTATATGTATATGTATATGTATATGTATATGTATATGTATATGTATATGTATATGTATATGTATATGTATATGTATATGTATATGTATATGTATATGTATATGTATATGTATATGTATATGTATATGTATATGTATATGTATATGTATATGTATATGTATATGTATATGTATATGTATATGTATATGTATATGTATATGTATATGTATATGTATATGTATATGTATGTATATGTATATGTATATGTATATATATGTATGTATATGTATATGTATATAAATCAGCTATGTTAAAGTTGGTTCACACAGCAAACTTTAAGAAGAGTCGTTAGCTCGAGCCGTAAATCGAAATCTGAATAAATTTATGGGTATATTTTACATTTCTTCTGGCTAAGTCAGTTGAAATAGGGTAAGATTTGCCTGGAACAAACATTGATACAGACGGCTATATCTAAATCGGTAAGAATGTAGCCCCTTGATTTGGTCGGAGATGCTTCATTCTGCCTGTTACATGTATTTACACAAAACAAGTATGCCCCTTTTACCCATTGTCAATGGGTGACGGCCATTATATGCTAAGCATTGGATGCTCTGGATGCTTTGGATTTGCTAAGGTGTCCCCCTTCGAGCCTTTTTGATTTGTGTCCACTAATTGGTGCTTTAAAAGTAAAGTTCGTCACAGAAACAAAGCGAAGTCCAAGTGAGAAATCGGCTTTAACTGCAAAGCTCAGTCGAGACACAGGCCGGAGTATAGCGTCAAAAGCGTTTAGCAGGAACACACACCCGCAACAGTAGCGTCCACACATTGCTGGCCGGCCTCGTTTAATACGTACACATGAGAAAAATATATAAATATTTGTTCTTTTCTACAGATTTATCGGCAAAATATTTTCTAGGAACTGCTAGGAATCGTGAGATTCCGCGGCGAACGTGATAATCTGGCAGAATTGCATACACATTTAGTTGTAACTTGGTATTGATTTTCTCACAAAGAAATGCGTTTCGATTTACTTTACTGCTGTAAGTTTGTGGTTGGTATCTGACCCTCTTAGAAGCCGCCTCGTAGGCACCGCTTGATGCGTTTTTAGTTCGGTTGAGTCGCTTGTCATTGTCGGTCGCACATTCCCAGAGGCTCGCTAGCTACGAAATTTGTTTAAATCAACTGAAATTACCTCCTTTCTGTCCCAACTACAAATCATTTTTCGATAATTTGATAACAAAAAAGAAAAGAGAAAAAATTTTGGCTCTCGTGTTCTTGACAAACGTGGTCTTTTTTTCGGTCCGTGTTTGTGTGTTGCGCGATCTTAAACCGATTGTATTGTGTTTAAAACAGCTGTCGGCAAAGGTGAGTCCGCAAGCAGGCGGCGTTCGCTCAGAGCGAAAGCTGTACGCACATGCTCAAAACATATCCAAATGAGAAGAGCACACCATGCGGTGGCGTTCTAGAAAATGTTAGCCAGCGAAAAGTGTTAGGAAAAACAAAACAAGAGGGAAGGGCTATCTTCGATACGCTGAAGATTAAATACTATTTGCAGATATATCTTTGATATTTCGAACGAGTATTCCTATATAAAATATAATATATATTAGCTTATGGAACTTGGTAAATGCCCTTTGTAGATATAACTTTAAGTTTTCGAGCAATTCTTCCTATATAAAATATATATATCAAATTTTGGATCTTGGTAAAAGCTTAGTTAATATTTACAGCTTATTTGATTTGCAGCAAACTTTACGTATATTCAAATATTTACTCATGTTCGTTAAAAATATTTGATATAAAATAACAAATTGCTAACACACAAGAAATTTGGAATCTCATTAAAGTATTTTTTGCGTATTAGAGAGTCTTACAACACTGAACGCTGGACTTCGCAGCACTACCTACCATTACGAGACGTTTGCTATATGACAGTTTATCATACTTGTATTAATTGTGCGCTGGCTAGAATCAAGAACAGTGCATAATTTATTTTTCAAATTATCATTTTCAAACTATAGAGTACCTTCAAAGATAAGATACGAAGATACAAATGTTCGCACAGCCACAAGCGCAAATGCCAAAGCAATATGTGAGGTCCCTATCTCAGCTGAAATGAGAACATGTTAACGTGTACGTTTCGTGGAATGACCCACCTCTCCAAGTACAAGTAGCAGAATATTTAGATCATCTCAAGTCACATCATTCTGTCATGTTTACAATTCGAATGTTTGTCGCAGAATGTTTAATATTTAAAACAAAGATGTTAATTGAAGAATAAGGGGACGGCTCAACTATGGCAGAGGCTTTCATTCAAATCGTTTCAGCGTTCGCTCTTACCAACTGTATTTTAAAGTCTGTGCAGAGCAGCAAGCTGTCGAGAATTCTCATGCATATAACAAATTGATTCGAATTGTTACTCATACAAGCTTTTGGCGTTGGGCTCCGAGCTTTTTCCCACATTCTTCAAATTAACCAATAAAAAAACCTTAAACAAATGAGCTGCGTGACAAAAGGCCATAGAGCGTATTCATTCAGAGAAATTGACCAGAAATGCACACAAATATATGTATGCATATGTTTTTTCATATTTGTATATATATATTGTATATACAACCACCTAAATGTAATTATCGTAGTAACAATAAAATTACCTTATATCAAAGTGGGAAGCTTTCGTACCTTTTGTTTGTACTTAAACGAAAATTCAATGCCATCTATAAGCAGAAGAGAGACAGATTTTTATATATTCACACCATTAAAGGTACGAAAAGGCAGAGTAGATGATAAGAAAAAGAATAAAACTGTATTGATAAAGAGATAATGGACAGCAGAGTATCTTATAGTCAGGTTATGGCAGAGATAAAATTTATTAGATTGCCAACAAAACTTATTTATATAACACTTATAATTTAAACGTTAAACTCTGTAAGGCTTACTAGAATTCATGAGAATCACAGAGTAGGGCAATGTCATAAGACACCTTCTTTGTTTTTTAATAATAGTGCAATAGGAAGTATTTTTGGTTAACATTTGGTGAAAAAGAACACACACATATTCATGCAGACATATTACATTTATACGTACATACACACATGTGTGCACACACACATATATAAATGTATATATACATATATGTATACACACAATCATGCCTGCATACAAATATACATATAAACATAAAAATGAAGTTTATTGGATTGTAAAAACTTATCAAAAGCATTTGTAAGACTTACTAGAATTCATGAGAATCGCAGAGTAGGGCAATGTTATTGCATGAGAAAAACCATTTTGTTTAAAATCTGTCTTACTTTGAACATTTTTTAAATTTGTTCGTGGGTTCTTAGCAGGGTGTGTTTCATTTGTAGTGATTTCTCATTGTAAATAATGTGTGGTGGGTGCGGGTGTAATTAGATTAAGTGGTCTGGTCCATTGGTAGTAACTACAACATAAAGATCAACTAAGGGCCTGGCCATGGGATGAAGCACGCATCTATTTAATTTTATGTAGATCTACTTAAGTAAATTAAATGGTCGTCCATATTACCTGATCCGTAGACGTATTTAGGGCGGTGAAATTTGCAAGCACATACGTTTCAATTGAGTTGATCCTAGATTTCTGAAAATGAATTAAGCGACCTAAAAACAAACAGATTGCAATTGAAGCCAACTGACTCTTGCAACGGACTCAAATGAATGAGTAATGACTGTCTCGCTGAGACATACGGCCCGCACAACATTCAAAAGGTAAATGTTCGAGCAAACAATGTGAATTCCCTATTTAGCCAAGTTTTCTACCAAAGCTCACACGCGGGTATTTTCAGCTGGCGCACAAAAGTATGCAGCATAAACTTTTTTCAGACTGCCAGTAGCAACGCGCACCAACAACATTATAAATTATTTAAATTGCAAAGAATATATATATATTACAGACGAAGTCGAATATATATATATATATATGTATATATTCTAATACAGACGAAGTCGAAAGAGACGCAAAGTAGCCCACTCAGTTAAAAACATCCATGACAAGGCCAGACAATATTACCTTATTAATCTACCTCAAACTGGCTGCTTGAGGACAGGTGTATCAAAATTTAATTTTTTGCAGGGCGACTTTTAAGTTTTTTTTTAGCAATTACCTCCAATTAAATCAATAAGAAGAATATTCGACCGGCTTGAGGTTCTTTTTCAAAAGGTTCTTATACTTTTCCACGAAATGTAAAATGAAATGTGTGTTTGTAAATTCTTAATCGATATCAGCAACCGAGTCGAACTGGCTATGTCTGTTTCTATGTAATCTAGGCTCTCACTATATCAAATAGCCGCCATAAGAATGATCGCTGGAAAATTATGTTTTTGTATTAACGTCTTTTTGTTCTCAAGATATCTTGATATGACTTTATCATTCACCTTACATGTGAGCAAAATCTTATAAAAATCAAACTACTTATTGTAAAGTTCTATAGGAAGCATTACGAGCCTTTCTTTTTTCCACACATATCTATTAAGCCGTATCGAATCGTCCTATTCTATTATATGGCTCCTGTAGGAACTGTAATAAAGCATTCGTATAAAATCAGTTTCAAGTCAGGGGTATTTCAACTTCGGCGTGTCGCAGATTGCAGATTTTTTGTTTGTTCTCAAGTGATCTTAATCTCATATTTTTATATTTTACGATCCTCAACCATTTTAACTATATACTTTATTATATACTACATTAATATAATTGGATGGATTTTAGATCCCATATTTTTTATTTAGAATAATTTCACACAATTTTGTTTTATTTCTTTAACTGTCATACATCTCGGCAGGCTGTTTAGTCCTAGGTAGCGACGTGTTTTTGTTTTTTAATAAACGCAATTTTAAAATATGTTTGCAATAAATATGATCAGCAAGGGTATTTAATATTCGGCATCGCGTAGCTAGCCAGGCATTGACAATGTCATGAAAGTCTCGTTGCAGCAGAGTAAATATTTGATTAAGTCTCGTCGTGTAGCATGTGCATTTGTGCACAAAATGAAAGATGAATGAATTTGTAGTTAGCATTTAAGTTAGCCCAACTCACTTATATTGCCTTATATTGCCATTAATCATTTTGTGCCCGACTGCTTTATTCAGTTGATTAGCTAACTCAAAATCGATATGTTTACTTCTCAATTCCAGCAAGCACATCTCAGCCCAAACCGATCGGCGTGCCGTTTTGTAAGGTAAGTTAACCTGAACTTTTACTGGCTTTGAGTACAGCGTGTCGTATGCGTAATATGCCAGAATAAGTTAGTATTACATACACGAGCAATTTCATGAATTCGAAAATGCGTCATGACATGAACAGAAAAAGAAAAAGAAAAAAAATAACCAACCAGAAAAAATAGCGTTGAATTCTCGCTCTCTCGGAACGCTTTGGTGCGATGCCGTCTATTTTATTTCCCTTAACCAGTAAATATGTTTGCGGTGTAAACAGCTCGGGTTCCCCATGGCTGGGCATAATATCCGAAGCGAACGATGTACCCGGCTAGAGCTAGTTCCAAAAATAAAAGCTGTCTTCATCCCACCAGAGATGGGCTCGACTATATGAGGCTCGTGTGGCACTTAACAATTGTTCGGCTTTAATTCGGATTTTGGCAACGTCACATATGCGAAAGTACTTCCCAAGCCCCCATTCCTAATGCCATCGGCAAACAATTGAGTGTGTCAGTTACTGTTTAATGATACCTACATGCTTACATATGATGTTGCTGATGACGAAGAGTCGCTCGGCGAATCCAATCCGGGATTGGATAGTATACACTATCAAATACCCATTATGTTAGGCATTGGGCAGGGGTGAGGAAAACCATAATTCACAATGATTTTTCTCATCAACTCTTAAACTGTAAACTGTAAACTGTTTATAAACATACGTCAATACACTTTGCTCACTTGCAGAGCATGATTCATTGCTGATGTCTGATTCACATAGTTGCTGACTTTAGCAAATGTAGGGCACAATATTTACTATATAGAGCAATATGCATGAGTGTGGATGCAACTACTGAGCACACAGCATTATCCAATTGGCTTATTCCGATTCCGATTTCGATTTGTCATAAAAATTTCCCCATTTCAATCACATTTCAAATGCGCTTTGTTTTATGGGAAATGTTTTATAGCTAATTTTTATATGAACATAATAACTCATAGAAGGTTAAATTAACGTATAAAAGGAATATTTAATTATTATTTGTGCTACATTTAAGAAAATCACCTTTACATGGAAGTTTTTCTTAACTGCGGAACATTTTCTCGATTTAAGGGAAATTTGAAAAAATGCTTTTATAAAAAGAATACAATTTTTTATTTATATTTGCTTATGTTTATTTAAGCCATAAAAATATTTTGAGCTTTTGAATCAGCCAATAAAATACCGAAAAACACCAAACAAGAAAAGAAAATTAAGAAAAAATAAAGAAAAAAGAATTGTTAATTTTACGGGGATTTTCTAGAGATTGTGGTAAATGAGTTTATATTCTTATTAATATTTAATTTTCAAAAAATTCCAAGTCATTTGATTTATTTCAATAGCAATCAAATAAAAACCCAAGTATGCGGCAATTGATTTTAAGATTTAAAGAAAACACTTAAATGTTTGAAGTCTTATTATTTTAATAAAAACCATTATTAAAACCGAATGAATTCGTACAAAATGTAATATCTGAAAATTGTCGAAATTATATCAAGAAACATTAATGCTAGATTTACCACAACAAAAATAAAAATTGATAGATTCGGGCATTAGATTTAGATTAGTTTGATAAAACTTGCTATTTCTCGCTTGGGGTACAGGGTATAACAACTAAACGCAAAAACAAATATTGAGCTTTGAGTTTCTCGCTCGGTGATTTACCAGAGCTGGAACCTGTCGGCCGCCGGCGGTCAGCTGCCAGCGGCTAACGGCCAGCTGCCAGTCAGTAGCTTTGCCGCCTGACTTGTCTGTGGTCAGTTAGTCGAGCTAGTCGAGCTGGTCGAGACGAGCCGGGATCAAGAGATCCGCTGTTCGAGCTCTGAGCGAGAGCTTTGCTTTTGGGGTATTTCCACATGGCGCGGCAATTGAATTGAAGTTTTATTTTCGTGCCATGATTTTGGCAGGTGATGCACAAGCTCCGTGTGTCTCTGGCCGTCAGCTGGTTGGATTTGGGGCCGTTGTTGCTTGTTTGCTAAAAGCCAACTGACCGTTTAGTGATAGCCCCCCGCACCCCCTCCTGCTGGGGCTTAGGCCAAAACAAGCAGCTCTCGCCAGAATCGGTCGATTGATCACCGGCCAGGGCAGCATCCGCCTACAGTAGTTAGCCTCTTCAGCTCAAATTATAAAACACACAAGCGCAGAATCGTGTGTGCCTATCGCAACGTCAGCCTCAACGTCAGCCTCAACGTCAGCCTCAACGTCAGCCTCAACGTCAACGCCAACGCCAACACATCGAGTCTGTCATTGACACACAGTCAAAGGGGCTGATAAGAAATCAATTCCATAGCCTGTTTATAAAAATAAATAACTGACAACAGGAACAGCAAAGCATATAAATAAAAACGGAAATGCAACAAAAGGTGCTCAGTTAATCAAACAATTTAAGATTTATTTTATTTCGTTTTTTATTTGCCCACAACAAATTGCTATCAATTGATTTGCAATTTTATTGAATCGATAACGAGTTTTATTATAAAATATTCAAAAAACTACAGCTATCTTGAATTTTGAAAAATAAAAGTAGAGCAGTTGTTGACCATTGCTAGCATATTTGTTTAATTAATGCCAAAGTTAAATAGCCCTTGCGGACATATTTTCTATATTTTCTTTATATAATAGACGTGTATATATTGCTAATGCAAGAAATGTGAGGAGAAGAGGAAAGCTGAGTTTGCTCTAGACTTTTTGTAAAACAGTAATAATTTCTATACAAAAACATTCTTTTCAACCGTTGTTGATAACATATTGCTCATGTGTGAGGAGTATGAAAAAAGTGTTAAAGGCCAAGTTTGTTACAAATGTCTCAAAAAAAAAAGAAGAACTTAATCTAAGTATATCTTTTGAAAATGAGTTGGAAACCGATCGGACGCCAAAAAAATCTTGTATACAAGCGTTTTCCGCCAATTTCGCTGAAATACGTATTCATTAAGTTCTTATGTAGGCTTTGAAAATAAGTTTGAAGCAAATCGGACAAAACTTCACGTGAAACACATCCCAAATGATGTTTCATATAGATCCTTGGAAATAAATTTGAGCGCAAAACGTCACCCACCAAATCTTTGACACCCATTTCCATCAAGAAGTGATGGATTTTCCAAAAACTGTGAAACACTCATCAGATGAATTTTGACAAAAATCTTTGAAAATGTTTTTGAAGCCGATCGGATGGTTAAAAGAAAAGTTTCATATGTAACCCCGTCTTAACGTGCACCTTCATCACATAAAGTAACTACAGAAAAAGTTCAGCTTCCTAGCTCTTACGGTATGGGCTGTGCGTTGATCGTCAATCAGTCAGTCAATAAGTCAGTCAGTCAGAGCAATCAGTTTTACATATAGAGATATCTAAAGATATACAAATTTTAAACGATTTATGGCCGTGGGGATCGATTTGGCAATAAATAGAGGGATCAATGGAAACTGAAAGTAGCGATAGCCTTACAACTGTGAGACTAGCTTCCATGGAAACAGCCGGATATGATCAAGACTATATATATATATATATATATATTATATATTATATTATATATATATCATATATATATATACTCTATGGGACAATAAAAGCCAAGGCTGCAAACACTTTTAAGCTTTTGAACATATGCTGACAATAGTTTCAGATATCTCAATATGAAAGATAAATTAATTTAACAAACAAATATATAAGCAAATGTTATAAATAATAAATGGAAATGGGATCTGTAAAAAGCCGGCTTCACCAACCGAACGTTAAGGTCAGGCTCCGTTTGAACCGAACCATCATAAACGTTTGCTGGGACTGAGTTCTTGATGTCCGCGTACGCTCGGAAAACTATAGTTATATACGGAATATCGATGGTTAAACTCATTTAAATATGCACATAGTTGTCAAATTTATATAAACATTCTGACGAACTGGACATAAACCTTTTGGACATTTGAATGCCGAATGTATAAAATAGTTGATTTGATTTCAATAAAACTTTTCCCAGCATTTGATTTGATCAGAATATAACTATATATATTTAACAAAGCTGTTAAAATAGATTTGTAATATTATAAACCGGATTTGACCGACTCCTGCTCCTGCTTTGAAAATGAGGCTGTACTTATGCTTGGGAACGAACTGGTTTGAGACAGGAATTCAATTTAATTTTCATCCGCCGCACCTAAAACCAAAACAGTTACTCATAAAACGGGTCTACTTAAAGCCGAACCGATGTATATAGTTTTGTCAAAAATGATTTAGATTTCATGTATTTACCTAACCATTTTTCTTAGATACAATGTTTGTTTAGAGATCAAATTTAGGTCGCATCTTGTAAATAAAATATTGATCGAAAAAAATTACAAATTTAATTGGTTGCTTTATGATTCATGGATGTGGAAAACCAGGCTCTAAGGCCACGAACAGACAGGGACTAAACCGAATCACCAACAGTTTATTTTGTTGCTCGCAGCCTCGACTAGCACTATATCCATATCCATATATCTATTCTATAGACATTAAATGGCCTATGACAAATTTCTGATCAATACTGGCGGTCAACCTTGATCAATGCTATACGCCGAGATAAGAATACATATGAATTCGCTGATGATATTCTTGTCGATTATGTCGCACAGTGCAACCTAAGTTTGTTTTCAATTTACCAACACTGTTCGCCGATCAAACTTGATAAGCCGTCGCAATCTGAAGATATGATCACATGCATATATTTAATTGCTGATGATATTCTCATCAATTATGTCGCACAGTGCAATCTTAATTTGTTTTCCAGTTACCATCACTGTTCGCCTGATAAACCGTCGTTATCATGATAAGATCACTTTTAAGTATTTGCTGATGATATTCTTATCGATTATATCGCATCGTGCAAATATCTTGCCAGATTGCAAAGAATATGTTATCAGATGAGCATTAAGGGTCAGTTTTCTGTTATCAGCTTGGGGATTCGGATTGTTTTTGAAAGTGAACACACTAAGCCACTTTACACATAAAATCTGAGA